CCCCAAAACCCCAAAACCCCAAAACCCCAAAACCCCAAAAATATTAAAATTTATTGAAGACAAATAAAATGAAACATTGCTTAAACTCCAAGTCTTACAGAGCTTCACCAGAGAAAAGGTCTACTAACTTTGACAGATCTTTGCTAAAGACAAACGTGACAGAGGCTTTAATAAAAAATAAGAAAAAGTTGAATAATTTTGCTCCGAAAATTACTCAGAACAACTTCGAGCTGTACTCTGGTAGTATTAGCCCTAAAAGCAAGCACCTAAAGGTGCTTGCTGAGGAGGATGAATTTGGTAGCCCAAAGGTACAACAGACTATGGGCCGTCGCCTGGGTGAGAACTTTACTAAGAAGCCCTGGCATCAGAAGAACCAGTTCATGAAGCCTTGAAGGTGGCAACCTGCTGGTTGGAAATATCCTTTCCTACATGAAGATAATCCTCCTAGTACTAGGGAACACATGAGGCCGAGGACGAAGCGGTATAGGGATATCTCAGCTGAGAAGTTTACTAAGAATTACTTTAAAACCTCATATTGTTCCCAATTCAAAGATGTTGTAGGATTCAAGAACCCTAAAAAGACCTCCTCGATAGAAAGATCAGGGTTTAAAGACACAGATAGATTAAATGAATATCTTGTAAGTAAAGGAATTCCTGAAGCTTCAAACTACATTTCTTTATGCTACCCTCCAGTGCAGTTAAGTCAGACTGGTACAAGCAAGGCATATCTTGGGCTGAAGAAGTATAATCCATTATTCCAAAGAGATAAGAGGAAGAGCTGAGCTGAGACTATCTCCAAGGTTGAAAATGTAGAAAGACCTTCTCCCATGAGTAAGACGATTAACACTCCAATTCCTATCGATGATGAGGAATGGTACCTTAAATGTAAGAATGACAAGAAGAATCTCCGTATAATCCGGAAAGACCTGAATAACACTGTCCGTGCAAGTCATAACAAGACGTTCTCTTTCGTGAGGGTAATCTTTACTGTAATTTCGAAATTTCTTTTCTAGCTATTCTTGTTCGTATCTAAATCTCAAATTTTATCAATTCGTTTTTAAATGTAATATATAGTCCAATAATAGTCCAAAAATACTTCTTGATGCCAATATTGAGAAATTAGAGAAGCCGTCACATATACGCCCTACAAGGGATGCAACTTTACCTTCAAAGAGGTCTAAGGGAAGGCTAGACAGAACTCAAGAGGCACAGGCTCTTTTTCAGATGAGATCAAAGGGCCTAAAACATCCACAGACATTTGCCAACCTTGAAACGTTAGATATCAGCAAAGACCTTATTCACAAACTGATGAAATCCAGCAAAACTAAGGACTACTTGAAATATCTGAAGTATAAGATCCTTCAGGACGACTTGACCCGTTATTCTAGTTACTAAGGCCCTTATCGTCATTAAAACTTTCCATAGTGCTATCTCCTTAGGGGTTTTGGGGTTTTGGGGTTTTGGGGTTTTGGGG